TACACATATGGCATACATGAGGGGATCTAAGAGAAGAAAGAAAGCTGTGGAGGTATGTATATACATGTGGCATACATGAGGGGATCTAAGAGAAGAAAGAAAGCTGTAGAGGTATGTATATACATATGGCATACATGGAGGGATCTAAGAGATGAAAGAAAGCTGTGGAGGTATGTATATACATATGGCATACATGAGGGGATCTAAGAGAAGAAAGAAAGCTGTGGAGATATGTATATACATGTGGCATACATGAGGGGATCTAAGAGAAGAAAGAAAGCTGTAGAGGTATGTATATACATATGGCATACATGGGGGAATTTAAGAGAAGAAAGAAAGCTGTGGAGATATGTATATACATATGGCATACATGGGGGGGTCTAAGAGAAGAAAGAAAGCTGTGGATGTGTGTATATACATATGCCATACATGAGGGGATCTAAGAGAAGAAAGAAAAGTGTGGAGGTATGTATATACATATGCCATACATGAGGGGTCTAAGAGAAGAAAGAAAGCTGTGGAGGTATGTATACACATATTTCTAGTTGGAAAAAGAGGTTAAGAAGCATCATTAGTTTTCTATTTTCATACAATTATCTTCAGATTCTGTTTCTTTGACATAAATGCTAATGTATTTAACAGCAAATGTTTGTTGTTGTTCTATTAGTTCCTCAGAGTTTATTATTGTTCAAGAAAAACCTGTGTTGGAAGTAAATTCGGTTGAAATGTGTAATTCTCTATTAGTTATGTTTTTTTATTCTTGTTGAAACTAAATTCGGTTGAAATGTGTAATTCTCTATTAGTTATGTTTTTTTATTCTTGTTGAAACTAAATTCTGATTACATTATTTCTCTTTCCCTAGGCCTTCTTGTAGACGATGTTTTGGTCTTTAAGTTCAGTTGTGAAGTGTAGTCAAGATAAACCCCGAATCGCCCATTTCTAAAACAGAAAATTAGCAATCTACACAGTCGTGTTCAATCCTGGATCGTCCATCCATTACATAACCAGGACAGTAGCAGTATACACAGTCATGATCCTGGATCGTTCATCCATTACTTAACCAGGACAGTAGCAGTATACACAGTCATGATCAATCCTGGATCGTCCATCCATTACTTAACCAGGGCAGTAGCAGTGTACACAGTCGTGTTCAATCCTGGATCGTCCATCCATTACATAACCAGGACAGTAGCAGTATACACAGTCATGATCCTGGATCGTCCATCCACAACATAAACAGGTCAGTAGCAGTCTACACAGTCATGATCCTGGATCGTCCATCCACTACATAACTAGGACAGTAGCAATCTACACAGTCGTGTTCAATCCTGGATCGTCCATCCACTACATAACTAGAACAGTAGCAATCTACACAGTCGTGTTCATGGACGATCCAGGATCATGACTGTGTAGACTGCTACTGTCCTGGTTATGTAGTGGATGGACGATCCAGGATCCACTACATAACCAGGACAGTAGCAGTCTACACAGTCATGATCCTGGATCGTCCATCCACAACATAAACAGGACAGTAGCAGTCTACACAGTCATGATCCTGGATCGTCCATCCACAACATAAACAGGACAGTAGCAGTCTACACAGTCATGATCCTGGATCGTCCATCCACAACATAAACAGGACAGTAGCACTCTATATGAACGTCTAGCTTTAACGTCTCTCATGTAGAATTACAATATAAAGTCGTATTTACAATGTTATTTCCTCAGTGTTCGTAAAGAGATCCATATATAAGTGTGTGCATTTAAAAAAAAAAGTCACCAAATAAACTAGGCTGATAACGAGATTAATCAGCACTGCCTAGTAACGTCGTCATTCAATCCTTTCGTTATAACATCACCGTTAATAACTGGAGCCATCTTGGACTAGCTGACGGTTTAGGGACCATGTTTCTCATCAGATCTCCGTCAACAAGGTTGAATCTCTACCCCTTATTCTTTTTCTACTAAGTAACAACGGGAACTGAGAACTTAATGGCAAACTATTCATTACAAGTTAGAGTTTTTGCTCAACAAACAGATGAAACATTCATGTATTTAACCGTGTAAATTCATAAACTTTCATTGCGTTTCTTTTCACTTATGTTCAGCAGCCTTGAATTCGAACGAAACTGTCCACTTTTACTGATTGTACTGGTCCAGGAGTATTGCCTAATTTATAAAAAACGATTAGTGATCCTGTTTTATTTTTCCTTAATTTAGATATCTTATTTTTATATATATTTTATAAAACACTAAAAATTAGGATATATTAGGATATTACTTGACATTTTTATCTAATTCATTCAGTCCACATTTGTAAACGTAAGCAGTAAGTTGAGAATTTCACCTTTTTAAAACGAGTCCAACAAATGTTTTTTGGTTTAGAGTAAAGTCACATTGGACTATCTGCTGTGTCCACCGCGGGGAATCGAACCCTGGATTTTAACGTTGTACATCCATACACTTACCGCTGTCCCACCGGCGGGGGTGGCAGAAAAGAAAGACCAGATGGTGATAAACCTTGCAGCTAGAAAACGACCGTGACGAAGGAGGTGTTATTGGACTAATCACGGTGAAATTAAAGTTGACGTCACAAGTCATGAAGATGTCTCGCGCTTATCGGTAGATGATCTACATTTCTATGAAACATAATCACGTGCAATCTTACAATTTGCTCGTTCGTTTCAGAATTTCGCGCAACACTACATAAGAGCTATCTACGCTAGCTGTCCCTAACTTTGCAATGACAGACTAGAGGAAGGCAGCTAATCAACGTCACCTGCCTCGACACTTGGGCTACTCTTGTTTGATCGAATATTGAAATTTGACGGTCACTCGCACAGTGCATCCAAAGTGTGAAGCAAGTTTTTTCAGCAGTGGATCGTAAACCTTGAATCCTCAGATTACCAGTCCGATAAATTTAACTACTGGGCAAAGCCTAGTCCAAGAGTTCAACAAGAATAAAGACACAGTACTGACTAACAACAGAAACCAAGAGCACATCGGATCGTGTCTTTTGGGACACCGATCCTTGTTCACAACTTAATTAATACTCATTACAATAAAATGCTGATTCGTTACAAGCTTAACAAATGATAATTAAAAACACCTGAAAAAAATTAATGTGATGTTTATCTCTACAACTTAACCTAGCTTGTAAAACATTAACAACAAAGCAATCTTCTTTATCAGAATATGAAGCAATGCATACAGACCAATTAGAGCACAAACTACATCGAGAAATTTCATATTTCTGTGGGGAGTATTAACAACCAATTAACACGTGAGAAAACCAATTTTTTTCAAAAACATGATTTTTGCACTACTCTGTTAGTTTGATTATATCAGATTTTACACTTTACAGGTCAAGAGGTTAATGTTTATTGTGCATTTTTCTGTGTAAACTTGATTTTACGCTCAATACTCCCCTCAAAGACAAGAAACAGACACCCAGAATGGTTTTGTTGTTGTTTGTTTAACGAATGAACGGAAGTAGGCCTACTCACTAAATCGGCGTCCCTCTTCCGGCGCTTCAAGGAAACAAGTACGAGACTGAAATGCGTCACAAGGTCATTCGTCTCAAACAGTGACTCTCTGTAGACCGAAAAAGACAGGGTTTTGATCGAGACTAATGCGTCTGGTATATAGTTGAAAATAAAATAAATAAATAAAAACGCGAAAATATCCGAGTCCGTTGTGAATTTTCAAAGGCGATTTTCAACTGAAGCCATGCATCGGTGCCATAGATAGCCCATTGTGTAGGTTTGTTCTTAAGTACAAACTGTTTTATGCATTGGTGCCATAAATAGCCACAGATAGCCCATTGTGTAGGTCTGTGCTTAAGTACAAACTGTTTTATGCATTGGTGCCATATTATTGTATTTTAAACAGCTGTTAGATGTCTCAGTGTGCCATATTATTGTATTTTAAACAGCTGTTAGATGTCTCAGTGTGCCATATTATTGTATTTTAAATAGTTGTTAGATGTCTGAGTGCCATATTATTGTATTTTAAATAGTTGTTAGATGTATCAGTGCCATATTATTGTATTTTAAAATAGTTGTTAGATGTATCAGAGTGCCATATTATTGTATTTTAAATAGTTGTTAGATGTCTCAGAGTGCCATATTATTGTATTTTAAACAGCTGTTAGATGTCTAAGAGTGCCATATTATTGTATTTTAAATAGTTGTTAGATGTATCAGTGCCATTTTATTGTATTTTAAAACAGTTGTTAGATGTATCAGAGTGCCATATTATTGTATTTTAAATAGTTGTTAGATGTATCAGAGTGCCATATTATTGTATTTTAAATAGTTGTTAGATGTATCAGAGTGCCATATTATTGTTTTAAAACAGCTGTTACACATTTTTTTTTTCCTGGCCACATATCATTTAAGGCCGGAAAACCAAAATGGCCACAGCGTCTGAAGTCAATCCAGTTATTTTTCCAATTTTGTCTTTATGCCTATTCCGGATGTAACGAAGGCTATGTGTTTCAGCTCATTGTTTAAAACAATAACAAATATCCTAATGTAAATGTGTTGGAAACAATCACCGCAAAATTAGTGAAAGAAAAATACGTACAAAACGGATTTAAGTAAGAGGCTTGTAAAAATTGATTTAATATGCTATTATTATTACGTACGTCTGATCCAAAATATGTAACGGGCAATTCAAGAGAAATGTGTGCAAAAATATGCTGTCGATGTGATTTTTTTCACTATTATATGTATTGTTAGGCCTAAAAAGTATACTGTTAGTATAGATAATATTGTACGTCAGAGCTTGACAGGTAAGTTAGGCTCGTGGTAGAATACATTCAAAATACCAAATACACATTACAAGGATATAATAAAATCGAACTGTAAACCGAAAAACATTGTTTTTCTTTTTACTTTTTCAAAAGCATTTGCGTTTTTTATGCCACTTTCTGGTCTATAAAACATCTCTTGAAGTATAAACAACTAAACATCTTCAATTTTAAAATTTCCTCGTAACGTAACCTAGTTTTAGGAAAGTTTTTTTTTGTAGGCTGTTTAATTTGTAATTATAACTATATATCTTTCGTTTAGTTGTTAACACTGTTAGCAAAATAAATAATATACTTATATTAAATCACTTACTTGCAGATCCTAAAAACAAAATATCTTTCGAGGCGCCCTCTAGTGAACATAAGTATTTTATAGCAAAAAAAAAACATTTCTTGATTTTCAACACTATTTCGTCGTAAAGTTTATTTACATATTAAAATAACTGGTTGCAATTTGTTTATTGTAACAACGCAAATGATCAAAGTAATTATTTATTTGCTTAATGATGTTTTGTAATAGGATTTCTGATAATATCCGAGCTATAAATATTGTAATTTGACTTTTGGAGAGCGAGCCTAACCTGTCTCAGTAACATGCTCGTACATGTCAGTGAACTTAGTGACTGAATGTGATCTTTCTCGACAACATGACAAATTTCGCAACTCATAACACGCTAAGACGTCAGTTAAGGAATGAATTGTGACTTTGTAATATAAGTACACCAGTACATAACACTTAACTTTGTGTCGTGTCTCAGCTTTTTATACGTTGATTAACTATTCAAGTGACCCTAAATAGCTAAAACCAGCAGGAAGGTACGTGTAAAATCAACGAAACGTTTCTCGCGAATTAAGAGAGAAATTCGAATTTCTGAAGATTCACCAAGGCTCCTTCGGATAGAAGATTTCCAGTTTAAGTCTAAGAACTTCCCATATTTATCTCTCTTATCTATTCGGAGGTGCGTTAATGCTATAATTACTTGCAGCTTCAAAACGTCACGTGCACAACAACGCAATAATTTCCTCCACGCATGACTTTTTTTCCCCAGTCTAAAAGGCTTCTCGCCCTTTCGTACTCCAAATGAGGATCGGTCCAAGTTCCGAATTGCTCATCAATGTGTCAACAGAGACTCTGAAGGATATATAATGAAAGTACTATACCACTATTCAGACAAAAATGAAAATCCTTATGATATTCGGCTTACTGGTTATGATTTTAAGCTATGTACACAGCAGGAATTGAACCTCAAACTTTAGTATTATAAGCCCACCAATGAGTTGACTTTGTAAGAATATGACCAACAAGTTTAAGTGAGATACTATTAAAATAAAATCGTTATATTTTTTTCCCAATAATCGATGATGTTTTCAATATAACCTCCCCCCTCCTCCAAAGAAAAGTTACACAATGTAAACACAGAAATATTTGATTAATATAATTTTAATAAACGAATCTGTCCGTACAAAACATAGATAACATATAAAAATGCAGTTTAGACATGTAGGAAACGTACAAAATATTTATTCTTTACGTCACCAATAACTGACTACTATTTTATATGCGTCTTTACATAGATATTATTATTTAAGGAATTACCAAAAAAAGGCTGCCTACAACACCTACTTTTATTTTGTCAAACACACAAACTAATGAAATATAGACTACTTACTTCTTGGAAATAGTTAAATAGTGGGGTTACATTTACATCACCGTGTAGGCGTTTGTCGATTATGTACAACAGCAACAGATATACTTGTCAGAACGTATTACAAAATATAACAGCCAAACGAGTAATTAAAAAATATAGGATGTCCCAAAATTATGTACATACCGACTTGTACTGGTGAAGAAAAACAACAAAACAAACGTTTTTACTTCTTGTATCGAGGCTAAGGCCCACTGTCGGTCTTCACGTTTCAATGAATAGATAATGCTATTGACCACTGTTGTAGAAATGGGCCTGCTAAGAACACTGCGCTCACGTTTCAATGAATAGATAATGCTATTGAGCACTGTTCTTGAAATGGGCCTGCTAAGAACACTGTGCTCATGTTACTGGTGTGTTCAGCTGAAAGACTCCAGTGTTCTCGAATCATTTACCCCCAACATTAAAATGTATTCTTTCTTAGACATGTTCCTGGATCTTCTTCCACGCCGTCAACTGGTTGAGCAAGTTTAAATGAAGTCTTAGCGTACCTTAGTTTTCCGACAGTCACTACTTGCAATGAAAGCGTAGTAAATATTAATTTGTATAGCAGAACGATATAATAAAACAAGACGAACTTTATCTCACTGTTTACTGCCTTCACATGAACGCTGATGTTAATATTCCTCACTCCCTACCTCACACAAATTTTTTCACTTAAAAAGTTCAGTAAAAATAACATGTTACGACATTTTTTTTCAGCATTAAAACTTATCAGTTGTTAAATGTTATTCCATTCGTAAAAAAAAAACAACAAAATAACCATAATCAAATAAAAAACACAACAACTGAGGTATAATTAAAGTAAACTATACATAATCAATAACACAACACTGAGTTAAAAACATAACAGGACATTTAATATTTACTCAGTAGTTCTTATGGCTTCTTCTAACAACCAAATAAACTCTATGACATACCAAAACTAATCCCGAAAACATATTTTAGTGGAATATGGAAATGATAAAAACGTCCTATTTGATGCACGACACACACTACACTGAAGAATAACACTTCCGAAAAGAAAAAGATACAGTATGAACACCCAAACGTTTTAAAGGAATTTATCTACAATTAGTGAATAAAATGTATTTTGTTTTTCTTATTAAGTGATAACATTTGACTTTAATATAGAAAATAGTACCTTTTATATATATATATATATATATATTTTATATTCGAGCTATTTTAAAATAGAAGATAAGGAGAAATGATGACCTCGTTGGATGTTTTACAGTCGACTTTAACAACGTTAGACTTAACATTTTCCACGACCTTTTACAAACCTGCTGACGCTACCAAATATGGAGATGGTAAAATGTGTTTGTTAAATCATTCATGAGAGCTTATTATTTTTCTCTACGTTTTTATAACATTACTAACGATATTATTTAGCCTTAAAACACGTCTTTCCTGTTACATATAGGCTCGGAGTTATCAAGTTTGGCGGGAAAAGAGAGGCAACAGTCTACGCCCTCTTTCGAAGCTGAAGCACAAAGTACAATTTGAGTTAACCTGTGTAAAAAGCCACTAACAATTGATTAAGGACGACAGATTAGAGTCTAGCCAATCGCCACCTAAGATATCCGTGACTTCGGTGTTCGCATAATCAGGGAATTCAAAGTGAGACCCAGAACTTGAACTGGCGGTTTCGAGAGAGGAAAAGTCCGAAAGTTGAGTTATGTTGAGGCTTTTTAACTCCTCTGCCCATGATGACGGAAGCTGTAGGGCCTCGGTCAGAGCATCTAAGTCGGCCAAACTATTGTCCACCAGGCCAGTAGAGTTCACGATATTCGGATTCGTCGCCGGTTTCACTGTCCTACCGACGGCCGACTTTTTGTCGGCCACATCGTCGTACAAACTGACGTTGGTACTCTCAGGAGAGGCTGGTTCTGAAGGGGAACATGGTACCTTACCAGCCGGATGTAGACTTGTTGGTCTGATTGATTCCTTGAACTTCCTATCTATAGTCAGTTTCAGTTTCAACCTGTTGTAATTCACACCAGCCACTGGAGCTCGTGGTGACGCATCGCCGCAAACGAGTCTCGAGTGTTTAACTGGCTTCAAGCCTTCTTTTCCGCTGTACACCTTGTGCTTTGCGGCCGATTTCTTTTCTTGTTTGACACCGGTCTGTTTCGCTTTCTTGCGCGGTCGATATTTATAGTCGGGATATTCCTGCATATGCAGAACGCGGAGCCTTTCGGCCTCTTGGATGAACGGCTGCCGCTCGTTCTCCGTCAGCAGCTTCCACCTCTTCCCAAGCTGCTTACTGATCTCTGCGTTGTGCATGTCCGGCTGTTGTTCGCAAATCTTCCGGCGTTCGATCTGGCTCCAGACCATAAAGGCGTTCATAGGACGTTTCACACGGTTTGTAGCTTTTTTACACTGTGTAGCATCGGTGTAAGGAGTGCTGGAATTTACGTCCACCGTCATGGAGCCGAATACTGGAATACTTTCACCAACGTGCAGCTCACGCTGAACGGCACAGCTACCGTCGATTTCAGCTGTCCCTGCAGACATTTGCGTAAGGCCTAGCTGAGGCAGCATGAAGAACGACTAAGACGAGCTTATTGTTAAAATTTACCTGTTGTCTAATACTTGTAAAATCTTCCTTTTCCCCCAATAGTCACTAGCAAGATGGTGATCGACTGTTGAAATATCCGTCAACTAGATACGCTAACCACAGAATAAAAAAAAACACGTTTCTTCCCTTCCTCAGCACACGTAACACAGTCCACAGTACAAACAGAAACTGTGAGCAGTACTCGCTAACCCGCCGTTTTCAAAGAAGCAATTGATGACGTCACAGAATCACAAGCCAATCAAAAATACCGCTGCAACTATAGTCTATGACTTATTTTATCGCCCAACAGATGGCAACAACTTTCCCGCCAGAGTGTAGCGAGCTAATGGTTACAGTAAGTTCTTCAATTATGCGTCCAAAATAAAACAGACTATCAAAGAAAGAACAGCAGTCTGAGGTTATCTCAGAAGAAGGTTTAAGGGATATTAAGATTAATTCAAAATCTATTGAAGATTTCTTAAAATTAACAATTTTTCAAATGCAGCTTTTAACTTGAAAATCGGCATCGGCTGTCTTCAAACTTCGAAAGGAACATACATTTAACGCACTGTAATGTTTTTCTCACTGTTTGGAAACTTGCTATTCTCGTGTTGCAGTAACAGGAACAAACGAGAGCTCAATGGACTCCAATGTACTTAAATACTTATGGTAAGATTGTAGTGGTTAATCGTTGTCCAGGTTAATTAGTTGCCCATGAAATTAACCCAAGTATAATTATTGATTAATTATTAATTAAATACTAATGACTAATAGTTATCTTTTAGCAGCCGAAACGTATGTTTTAAACGAGTTAGTAATTAGTATCTAATTACTAATAATACTGCTACTAATTAATAATTAGGTTTAGTAGTGTTCCTACAGGCAACCAATCATGACAACGATTTAACCAGTTTCTCCTTATATGGAAACTTGCTGCTTCTGTGCTCTAGCTTTATAATAATTTCGACAACGCTTTTCTTGATAAAATTGTTAAGTACATAGTCATTAATAAAGCAACGACACAGAAACTACCATGCAGATAGCATTGGAATTAGGGTTAGACCTACAATGAAATCAGAAGTTCTGTCTAACACTGTTTTTTTATTTTTACTAAAACTAATTCTTAAATATTACTACAATCACAATCTGTATTTTCTCAGCATTCTGTTATTAATATATAACCTCTGTGTTTACTGTCTTCTGTTTACTGTTACCCCACAACCTCTGTGTTTACTGTCTTCTATTTACTATTACCCCACAACCTCTGTGTTTACTGTCTTCTATTTACTATTACCCCACAACCTCTGTGTCAACTGTCTTCTGTTTACTATTACCCCACAACCTCTGTGTTTACTGTCTTCTATTTACTATTACCCCACAACCTCTGTGTCAACTGTCTTCTGTTTACTATTACCCCACAACCTCTGTGTTTACTGTCTTCTATTTACCATTAACTCACAGTACTTTATCACGATACATCTATATAATAATAAAGTACAGTCTTCCTACTGTATTGTTTATATTCACTGTTAACATACTATCACGATACATCTCCTATATAATAATAAAGTACAGTCTTCCTATTGTATTGTATATATTCACTGTTAACATATTATCACGATATATCTCCTATATAATAATAAAGTACAGTCTTCCTGCTGTATTGTTTATATTCACTGTTAACATACTATCACGATACATCTCCTATATAATAATAAAGTACAGTCTTCCTACTGTATTGTTTATATTCACTGTTAACATATCATCACGATACATCTCCTATATAATAATAAAAGTATTGTATATATTCGTTTTTAACATACTATCACGATACATCTATATAATAATAAAGTACAGTCTTCCTACTGTATTGTATATATTCATTGTTAACATACTATCACGATACATCTATATAATAATAAAGTACAGTCTTCCTACTGTATCGTTTATATTCACTGTTAACATACTATCACGATACATCTCCTATATAATAATAAAGTACAGTCTTCCTACTGTATTGTATATATTCACTGTTAACATACCATCACGATACATCTCCTATATAATAATAAAGTACAGTCTTCCTACTGTATTGTTTATATTCACTGTTAACATACTATCACGATACATCTCCTATATAATAATAAAGTACAGTCTTCCTACTGTATTGTTTATATTCACTGTTAACATACTATCACGATACATCTCCTATATAATAATAAAGTACAGTCTTCCTACTGTATTGTTTA